AGGTGGCAGATTTCTCCTCGAAGGCTACGGAGTGGAATGTTACGGTTTTTGGGAACATTTTTCGGCGCAAACGACGTTTGCTAGCCCGGATTGGTGGCATCCAACGTAAAAGTGATTTCGAGAGAAATCCCTTTCTTCGATAGCTGGAGCAGGAATTAAAGGTGGAACTTGACGAGGTTCTCTTTCAGGAAGAGTTGTTACTCCTCCAGAAATCTCGGCGGGACTGGGTTTTGTTTGGTGATCGAAATACCTCCTACTACCATCGGTTGCTTAAGCACCGTCGGCGTAAAAATAAAATTGTGGCGCTTCGTGATGAGACGGGAGCTATAGTTGAGGATCCGGCTGCACTGCAATCGATGGTTGTTGAATTCTTCAAGCATATATACGCGGCTCCGGAGAGTGGGCTGGCCGGTACCTGCCTTCTGGGATCCTTTCCGGCTTTGGAAAGGGAGCACTGTCAGGCTATTGCTCGCGACATTTCGGCTGCTGAAGTGGGGGTGGCGTTGAAGAAGATGGCTCCTCTTAAGGCGCCAGGAGTCGATGGTTTGCATGCTTTGTTCTTTCAGCATCATTGGCAACATGTTGGCCCTTCGGTTTGTGATCAGATATCTCATATATGGAGGGGTGGTGGGGTCCCGTCTTTTTTGAATAAGACACTTCTGGTGTTGATTCCGAAGGTGGAAAACCCGATAACCTTGAAACAGTTTCGTCCCATTAGCTTGCTCAATGTGGTCTATAAGCTATTGACGAAGGTTTTGGCTGAGAGGCTTAAACCGGTGCTTCCTTTTCTTATCAACCCCGCCCAGACGAGCTTTGTTCCGGGCCGACATATTTCGGATAATATTATTATTGCTCAGGAGCTTATCCATTCGATGCGAGGAATGAAAGGGAGGAAGGGGATGATGGTTGTCAAGGTGGACCTGGAGAAGGCATATGATTTCCTTAGGTGGGAGTTTATTCGTAGCACACTTGAGTTGGTGGGTCTCCCGGACGTGTTTGTGGACACAGTCATGGCTTGTGTTACGTCTGCTACGATGCAAATCCAGTGGAATGGGGTCGTTAGTGAGGAGTTCACGCCGTCACGCGGCATTCGACAGGGCGATCCAATCTTCCCCTATCTTTTTGTGTTGTGCATTGAACGGTTGGCTCACTTGATCGATGCTTCGGTGGAGGATGGTGGATGGAGACCAATTTCGGTGGGCCGAGGACAGGTCTCGGTTCCGTACCTGATGTTCGCGGATGATTTGCTCCTGTTTATCGAGGCGGATTCGGGCCAGGCAGATCTCTTGAGTGCCGTTCTTCTCAACTTTTGTGCAGCTTCGGGCATGAAGGTTAGCGAATCAAAGACACAGGTATTCTTTTCTTCTAATGTTCAAGTGGCAGATCGTCTCTCACTGGCTCAACGGCTAGGGTTTCAGGAGATCGATAACCTTGGGAAATATTTGGGTATGTCGTTAATCCATAGTAGGGTGACCAAGGATACGTATGTTGCAATTGTGGAGAAAACCGAGAAGCGTCTGGCCGGTTGGAAATCTACGTCTCTTTCGATGGCTGGGAGGGTCACCTTGGCCCAGGCGGCTTTGTGTAGCTTACCGTACTTTTCCATGCAAACTGCGTCCTTACCATTTGGTGTTTGTGACAGCCTTGAGCGTAAATGTCGTAATTTTATTTGGGGAGGGACGGACTCCATTCGTAAGGTTAGCCTTGTTTCTTGGTCGGAAGTTTGTCGCCCGAAGGAGGAGGGGGGCTTGGGGATGAAGAATCAGAGGCTAATGAATCGTGCTTTGCTTATGAAAGTAGCTTGGTCTTTCTTGACACAACCGCATTTACTATGGTGTCGGGTGCTTCGGGCCAAATACTCGCTGGATCCTTTGGAGATGGGCGAAGGCTTCGAGTTTCCTCAGGGCTCGACGGTTCTTCGGGCTATTCGCAATGTCTGGAAGGATACTCTAGCGGGTTGCCGATGGACTGTGGGTAATGGGCTCCGGGCTCGTTTCTGGTGGGATAAGTGGCTCAACTGCGATACTCCTTTGATTTACTTTGCCACTGGCCCGGTGCCGGAAGTTCTTCTTTTTGCTGCGGTTGCCGACTTTGTCACGCCGGAGGGGGCGTGGAATTGGTCGCTGTTTCAACACCTGCTCCCCGTTACTAGCCTGCTACGAATAGCAGCTATTCCGCCGCCAAGGGTGATGGGCGAGGATGATGAGCTTTTTTGGGGTTGGTCGGTCGAAGGCCGCTTTTCCACGAGGACGGCTTATGCGGCTTTAGCGCGGCCTACTGCTCGTTGCCGGGATAGAGTCTTGAGGGTGGTCTGGCGGTGGGTGGGCCCGCAGAGAGTTCGGAATTTTCTTTGGCTCACTGTTCGTGAAAGCTTGCTGACGAATTCTTCCCGGTTCCGCCGTCACATGGTGCCCAGCCCGTCCTGTACCCTGTGTTCTGTTGATTGTGAGTCTACGCTGCACGCGTTGCGGGATTGTCCGGATGCAGCTCGTACGTGGAAATGTATCCTCCCCCGGCAGTTCTGGAGCGTTTTCTTCACGTTGGACCTCAGACATTGGCTGTTGGATAATATTACGGGTGATCTAAGTAGATGCCGTGATGATTGGGATTCACTGTTCGGGCTCACGGCGTGGAGGATATGGAGGTGGCGCAATCTTAAAATTTTCCAACACTGTGATGTTCCCATGGACAGGCGGGTCGGCGAGGTTCTTTCTTATATGGATACGGTTCGCTGCGCCTCGGCTGGGAGCCGACTAATCGATGTTAGTGCTGTGCGCGAGAGACGGTGGGTGTCGTGGTCGAGACCGGTGGTGGGTGTTTTGAAAATTAATACGGATGGGAGCTTTGATCCAGAGACGGGTATGGCTAGTGCGGGCGGCGTTATCCGTGACCACTACGGGAATTGGGTGCATGGGTTTGTGATGAACATCGAGTTCTGTTCGATTGTCGGAGCAGAGCTATGGGGCCTTTTACAGGGCCTGGTTCTGGCCTGGGATATTGGGGCTCGTCGCATTTTGGTTGAGGTTGATAACAAGAGTATAGTCGAGATGGTTA